TACACCAGCGGGCGAAGGACTCTTGCGGCCCGGAAAACGAGTTCTGGCTTCCAGGGTACCTACAAGTCTGCGAAGGAGGCTATCCGCAGACGACGTTTTGACTCACCAGATTTGCCAACAGAAGAGTCGCCCACCACCGCTACTCTGAGCTGAGGCTCGTCGCTCAGCGGCCGGTTGTTGTTGCAGTTGTTCCCGCGCTTTTTCATCTTCGCACGTTGCGTCACCACGGGAGAATAAGACATCTTGGAACTCAAAGTAGTCTCTGTCATCTAGAAGAAGTATTGAAGAGAAAGGAAGTTATATAGGACAACGGATTTTCATAATATCTATGCAGATCTTTTGGTGGCTGCAAGACAGTATTAAATTGTCATGGCTGTGTCCATTTGGCTGACAAGAAAATATACCAGTACAAAAAAAAAAGCCCGATAAAAATGCATATAAAATGTCAAAAAGAAGCCGAAGCCTAACCCCCAGCTTCGAGTGTAGCTTCCACTACTTCAAATGATATCAAAATATGTAGTCTATACACTTTCCTACAATCTTTCGAGCCTAAAGAGTTCAAATTTCAACGAAGCAATCAGTAATTAATATACATGTACCATTATTCAGTAATAAGTTACCCCTCTTTCGCCTACTACGTTTTCTAGAATGTCTTACCAAGCGGCTTACCTCAGACTTGCTTTCTACTAGAATTCAAGGACAAACTAACAACAAAATACACATTAGTCCCAGCCTAAGGTATGTATGTCAAACAGCGGTTTTGAATAAGAATGGAAGAAAGACGCCCGTCCCGGTCCATATGTGTAGTCTACTCTATTGTCACTTGACGAGCAAAGGGGCCACCGACCACCGCACTACCTCATTAGCATATTAAAACCACTAATGCCCTAATCAGGAATAAAAGGGATTCCTTCTAACCCGGTGGTAAGTTTCACACATAAGTCACACTTTCGGTAACTTCTGAATAACTGTTGTTTTATACACATACCGAAAAACAATAAACCAAAAGAAAGCGGCTGTACATGTATCCAGTCATACAATGGCTTTGTACTTTTCCGTTCGTTGAAATCAAAACATTAAAAGTTTTTCTTTTTTTGGGGGGGTCAAAATTGTGCAACTAGTTTATACAGTATCATGAAAAGCGAAGTATGAGACATGTTATCGACTATGCCATTATTGCAGACTTCTGTATTTCTTAGCGTCGAATAACTAGCAGTAGTGTACTAGTATTATACTATAGTGTTAACGATATTAATAAATATAATTTTTTTTTTGAATGTTTCACTATCAAACAGCACGTCATTATGTCCAAGCACTACGCGGTTTTTGGATATCGTGGATTATACAAAACCCCTTTTTAATTTGTTCAGTCGCAACACCAGTGAACCTAAATAACCACATAAAAAAAGTATACGACGTACAAAGATTATACCATGGAGTTAAAAGACAAAAGGCTTGTTGTTTTTCTACCTGCAAGATTCAAAACCTGGATGTTAGGGTCATAGCACGCGAGGCGAAGCCAGCAATAAGAAACATACGTCCCTCTCACATTAGCCTGGATGTCAGACGCGTAGCACGCCTGGGGCATATTGGCCCTGGGGCCGAGGAACTGGCCTATGTAAGCCCAGAAAACGGCCTGGCACCAAGGCTATCCCTACATGTACAGAGTTAGCCAACGTGCGCAGGGCTATGGTAAAATGTTACTCAGGGGCATGTTGGCTCTGAAGCCGAGGGGCTAGCCCGTGTAGGCCCTGAAAGCAGTCTAGCATTCAGGCTTGAATTTCAGTTCGGTACTGTATACATTCATTTGTCCCGAGCAGCTGCCCAGAAGCCATCCCGCATGTGTTTACAAAGGCCCGCGGGACAAAGCCAACAGTAGACGGGGAGGTAAGCTAGGCAACGAGGCCGTCTGTCAACCTGTCAACCTTCGTACAGAAAAAAAAAACGTGTCCTTTATCGTGCTGACTCTTGCTCGTATAAAATACACAGAAACCGCCTCTTTTCTCCCACCACAAGGGAAAAAAAAAATAGAAGTTTCTTATGTACTCAACCCCAGTCAACCATTGAACCAATTCGAAAGCAAGAGCGGGATACGGTTTTCACATCACGTAGACATTTTGTTGAGTCGGCATCTTTCCCGTTCGCGGTGCCCCAATTACAGGAAGAAATATCTAGCAGGGTAAAATATTCTTTTTGTTTCTATCATACCACCATATTATTGAGGGAAAGACTATGACAAACTATGACAAGTCAACGTTATGCAACATTACGCAATACCAAAGTATGTATGTCTGCGAATTTTAAAGCGACACGATCGCGAAATCGTGTGCGTGCACGAAATACACCGACTATATTTAAATTCGTCTGCCCGAGAATACGATCGCTAGACAGGGCAGTATGTCAACTCCGTGACAAAAAACCCTCCCATGTGTTTAGGCGAGCAAAGTGCATCTCAGAACTTAAAGTCGTAGCTGCAACGAAAAACAAAAACAGTCACGGAAACGTGCACTGTTAGAGAGTAGCATAATTTTAGACTCTGGCCGAAAAGAAGGTCGACAAAGGAAACCACTATTAAACTGCTGACCTCTGTCACACAGTCAGGGACCCCAGAAATCTGGGTCCACCGGGACATAACAAGATATAGTTGTATCATATAAATAGAGTGCTGTATATTAGTATCGAATACAGTATTTAAATGCTGAATGCTGACAGCAAGTATATACACTCGTACCTATAAAAAAATACGAATTTCAGGACTGAAATTCCTGATTTTCTACCAGGAAAATCAACATGAAAACTCACGAGCAAGTAGTACAAAAACAAAGGAGGGTTGAGCAAACCAACTTACCGAATAACTTCTGAACTCCATCTAAAGAAAATCCTAATGGCACGAATGTCAGATCCACACTAACACGCAGAGTAGAAGTACGAGTAGTTCTATGTCTCCAGGTCGGTAGTCAGGCGATGTGAGAAGCCGTGTGCTCTCGGTGAGTCCGGGCGTTTGTCTGAGGGCAGGCGGCGGGGACCGGCGGTTTTGTAGCGGCGCCGCGGGGGGCAGGCGGGAGGCGGATTATTTATCAGGCCCAGCGATAAGCGTATCTAACCTCATTAAACTGCCCAACTCACGCCAGGGGAGGGGGAGAACCGTTTGTGATGTTTAGGGGTGGGATGTGTTGGCACATTGTGAGAGAGAGAAGTTTATTTCACTACAGTTGTACCCTGGTTGTACATGGTACGATGTATGGCAACGACTATTGAACATAGTATAGAAATAAAAGTGTATAGATAAGAATTAACATCCTAATTATTAGACATCAAGAGCTGGTACAGTATACAATTATTGATATATTTTTAGCCAGTAGTTCTTTATAACACTCTGTCAGACCAAAGTGAAGCTAGCCGGCGTTTCAGCCTTCGATTCGTAGCCGGTGTTTACAGTAACCGTTGACCATATATAATAAACTCAAACCAGCTGGTAACTTTATTATTTGCCGTACATTGTACCCGTGACAATCGTTGTACAATAAACTTTGACTTGTCTTGACTCGTAAGGCTATTAAAAATGAGTTTCGGCATTTTTTTCTAATAACAGAACAGTCTTTTATGTATTAACCTACCTTTGCATTGTAATAGTTGTTGCAGCCAGTTGAAAATATATATGTATATCCGTCCAAAACATTTACGTATTTAAAATATTTTTGTGGCTTTAACTTTTTTGTGTGTTTTTTTTTATGTTAGCATTTCCGTCGTAACCTTCTTATACTTTTCGCAATGTTCAATGTCAATTCATTACAATGAAATTTGCCAGATTCAAATGATTTGTCTGTACCCAAAGTTGACCTAATTTGTCACTTAAACATCTAAATCGAGTACTAGTAGTAGTACTTATTTGCCTCAAGAGATCCTCACACACATTACCCGCTTAGCTGCATAGGCAATGGACTTTCCCGACCAAAGGCCAGCGAGCACGAAGAAAAGCGCCCTCTATTTCATGTAGACAGTACTGCAGCTGATCACAGTTAAACTGGTGAGCAAACGCGACCGTTGGACTGTACGTGATAACGCGTCTAGTCACGTCAGGAATGTAGTGTTATCCCCCTGTTTGATCAACACTGGGTGGTAAAACCGATATCTCTTACTCTGCAAGCGAGAGGAAGTACTTAACGACCTGGAATTACGTTCTTCAACACTGGAAATACAAACCTGTACGTCAAAGTTGATAAGGTATTTATTTTCGTCGTACCTGAAGAAACAATTTCCTTCTTTCGAAGAAGGAAACGAGGAAGGAAGAGCAATGAAAGGGGGCCCGCAAGCCTTTTTTTTTGTAGAGCATAATCGGCCGTTACGTAGAGCATAGACGGACCGCTCTAATATTTTTGCGTAGAGCGTATTCTGCGTTTTAATTCTACGTAATGCGTTGTAGCCACTTAGAATTTATCGTAAAACGAGAAAGGGATGTGGAGAATTGATAAAAAGCGAAGCTGGCTGGCGCAGAAAATACAAACTTCTGACCCTACGTCAAATTTTGCCATGTTGATTTGATCATATGGATGACATCCTCTGGGAACCCCAAAATTGATGCGAGCGTGCGAATAAAAAAAGTTTTCTTCATTGTGAAATCTACATGGTTATACAGCTTGTTCTTTGCCCAGTTGGGTGTCGAAAGCTGACGCACTCTTTTGTCATCCATAAAATTTACTTGGTGTGGCCTAGAGAAAAAAAATGATGGGGTATGTTTTCGTTGTATATGAGGAAAATTTCCACCTTTCGAGGAAGGAAACGAGGAAGGAAGAGAGATAAGCATGAAAACGAGAGAGCAAGGTAGAAAAATAAAGCGAAGTTGTCTGTCACAGATAATAAAAATATTACGATCTGTACGTCAAATTTGTGGTATGTGATTGGGAAAAAAATCTCTGTTTCGAAGAAGAAAACAAAGACAAAAGACCAGAGAGGTATGCAAAAAGAGGAAGGAGTAGGCAAAAGCTGGTATCTCTGGCAATCTTACTGCTAGTACTACGGCCCCCGCTCACATACGTTGTACGATCATTCGAAGTTTATTGCACAACGATTGTCACGGGTACAATGTATGGCAAATAATAAGATTACTCTTCGGTATGTGTCTAACATAATGCTACATATATGGTCAACGGACATTGTATCTAACAGAGCATTACAAAGAACTACTGGCTAGAGAATATTTCGACTCTATATGTACATTCTACATTACGCTAAACTATACACATGAAGGGTACAGTGAGCAGTTGTACCTAATTATACTAAACATGTTCTATGACTATTAAACAGAGTGTAAAATTTTACATATAAATGCTACGAAACGCTACACTACTAGTATATACATGTAGTTGATAAAAAATGCAGTGACTCTACTTATACAGCTATTCTAAGATGTCTTTTTTGCATGGCATTATAAATGTATAAACCTATATATACAGAAAATGTGTCTGGACCTTACTTATTCTCATGTGCTCCATCCATCATCAGTATCACACTAATCATTCCACAAAAAACGAACATTTCAACTTAAATGAACTCAAGTAACATAACATAATCACAAGTTTGGTGCAACTCAAGGTACATATAAAAAAGAAACAACTTAATGTGAACATAACACTCAGTACAACTAATCAAATTTTACTGTATACGGCTGTGACAAACATGCAATGGCTGGGTTTGAGGCCAATCAGAAGCTAAGAAGCAGCATCGCGTAACAGGTGTTTCCATTAATGCCTGTTTTCACCTGATTAACATTTCAAAAATTCAAGGATTCAAACCAGCCGCATATTTGTCACGTCTTGTAGCTTGCACCAAGAAAATAAAGCATTCATTCAGTTCTGTCACATTATGGATTCATTGATTACACAGCAAAGAAGCACCAAAGTCTCAAAGAGAAAGTAGTGCGTGTTTAATAACTTCAGTCTCTTAAAAATACAACAGATTAGCTCTCATGTGTTCGGCAGTGATCTCTTCTTTGTTGACAACATTAGATCTACAGCGTCAACACGCTTCTTTTCCTGCCCATTCACAAGTAGCACAGCGTACGTAGCCTTTGGAGGCACCCATATCGACACTCTAGTATCCGTACCTTTAACTTTCTCTAGCGCAGCTTCTCGATCTGGAACTAGGTTGGCTCTCGCAGCTTGCAGAGGCGGTGGAAGATGCTCATAAACCGCTAAGCCATCTTTGTTTCCACGTAACTTCCTTCCCTCCCGTAGGATACGGTCTCGATCATTAAAGTTTAGGAGTCTGGCAAGCAGGGGTGGGTTTGGTAGTGTTTTTGTTGGCTTCGAGAGTCGGTGAACAGCTGCAAACGGCACCGGATCCAGGTGAAGCTTTTCGGTCAGGAATCCCGCAAATATCTGCTCCGAGTTTTCGTCTTGGCTATATGGCAGACCCCGAATGATTATATCCGCTTTCCTAGAGTACCGCTCGGCCAGTAGGTCTGCTTTCAGTCTTTCGCGGCGTTCCTCGACCAAAGCACTGCGTAAATCCTAAATTTCCGCTGTTTGGAATTCCGCGGCCTTCTCGGTGGCTCCCACACGCACGCGTAACTTGGTGCAGACAGCCCTTCGACTTTGTTGTCCAGAGCGCGAATTTGGTTCGAGAGTTTTTCCCCGACGTCTTGAAACTGACCTAGAAGGGTCTCCTGTTGCTCTTGAGTCTGTTTCAGGATTAGCTGCGCGAGCGTCTGTAATTCCGGTGACAGAGACTGCAAACTTCCCTCGCTACCCTTAGCCGACGCCATCTTTAGTGTCTTGGGTGGGGGCTGCTTTTTAGAGATGTGCTACTTTCATCTGCGCTACTAGAACCCCTCGAGCGCCTTGTTCTCTTACCCATCCAAAAAATCTCGATAAGAGTTCGGCCCACAACAGGCAGAGACCAGTTCGAGCTCTACGTGGGTCAAATACGCGTGGAAAGTCGAAATTGTTTGGAGCACACAATCACACACCTAGCTCAGGGCCGCCATCTTGAATTCTCTCATACAGAGTATGGTTTGGCGAATAATCTAGTAGTCTTTCAAATTCATTTCTTTACATTTTCGTCTTTTTCGTTAGTTTTTGGCATTCTATGACATTGGTATCATTTTCCTTTTTTTCAACTCACGGTATATATTTGCTCATTTTGCAACTGTTTTGTATGATTTACAGTATCGTTGAAATGTTTTATTCGGGAAACGGCCGAAAATTCATGCGCGCGTGGATGTCATCCATATGATCAAATCAACATGGCCTAAGAAAACTGATGAAAAGTCGTGCATGTCTCACAAATGAATCTGCCTTGTTACAGCAAAGGCTGTCTTTAATATCCTTCAAGTGAGCGACGGGTTCTTTCATAGCCTGCTTTAAAAATTCTAGGGATTCAAAACCGTCTACGAGTTACGACGAATGTGAACAAGAGAAAAAACACAATCAGAGCCCTAAACCTCCATCAAGGAGCATATCTTCCTGGTATTTATTAATACGCTTGCAGCTTGTAAAAAAGCTGACTTTGTAATAGAATTAGACTCTGAAATTTCCATCGTATGAAGTTGCATGCCGATTACACAAAGAGAACCCAGTGTTTTGACTGCGAACACGAAAAAACGGCTGTTCACAACACTCGGTCCGGAGGTCCTGACCTCCTTCACGGAGTAATAAAAAATCACGTCCACTGAGGCTCTGGCCAGCTGGCTGTAGGCCTGGGTAGTCCATGATTTAGCGACAATACGGACGCACCCAGGCTACCGAAGCTTCACGACCCAAGAACTCAGTACATACGTACAGTGCCGATTCATAAATTCCTCAAAAGTCCAGTATGTGCCGGTTTGTCGTTTACGTTGCTAAGTACTGCCGCAAATTCACAATATCAGCTTTGTATTCCTGTGGTTTTGAAGCATTTTTATTTTGGGCCGGATTATTATTTATTCGCCCGCGCGCACTAGTTTGTTGTTCTTCAGAGGATGTCATCCATAAAATTAAGGTGGCCTAGTCTGGCCTTAAGTTATGCGCTACTGTTTAAAAGATCGCACAAAGCGATAGAAACATACTACTAGAATTAGCTTCGTTAAAAATCAACGTTTCTTAGATTGTCGGGGGGGGGGGGGGTTGTAAAGGTGCCGATGCACATGTTTATCCCCCTTCACACTGTGGTCTGAGGTTCATCTGCAGTACCAGTCCTAATCGCTAAGAGGGGACTACTGAACGTTGTCAAACTGCCTCCCCGCGGTTAGAAGCGGTACTGTATAATAAGCTTGTTCATACGTACTTGTGTGTGTACAATATACACAGCTTTGAAGTAAACATTTTAACTCATTTTATGTTAATGAATGAATGAATGAATGAATGAATGAATGAATGAATGAATGAATGAATGAATGAATGAATGAATGAATGAATGAATGAATGAATGAATGAATGAATGAATGAATGAATGAATGAATGAATGAATGAATGAATGAATGAAACTTTATTTTAGTGT